GAACTGTGAAAGTTCCATAAGCCATTTGACAATATCACAGTTGCCCAAGAGGAATAGTGTGACGGGGTCACACAGCACCTTGCACAGAGGAAGTGCTTAAGGGTATTAACTACCCGAGTGAACGTAAGTCCACGTGTTCCCGGCCTCAGTGGGAACGGTTTGCTACTTAGAGGAGTAGATTTAAGACTGATGTATTTATAAGTAAGATAAGCTTGGGTCTCATACAAACTAGAGGTTACCTATAGTGGAGCTAAGTAGTCATGCACTGACTGGCTCCGAGAGCACCTGGTACCGTGTACCAGGTGTCCACAAGAGTGACGGGTCACTCTTTATGTAACATGGGGCACACTGGATTGTACCCCGTTACATCCTCCCGCACTTAACTGAGAATCACCTGATTCTCTAATCACAACTGATTCTCCAATCAGAGGTGAGAGAATTAAAACACCAAAAGGTGAATTCTCACACTGAGCAGCCACGAGACTGGCGCGGCTCTCAGTCACACCCACAGTGACTTGTGCTGCCAAAGCTCACTGGGATTTGCATCCCTACGCTCACAACTGTGTTGGCCGCAAAGCCTACTCTCAGAGCTGCCTTAGCTCCTGCGCTAGCACTCGTACAGTGCTATGGCACAGGGTGCAGTAGCATCCGAACGTGTGGCATTCGCCCACAGTTCGCACCAGAGGACACGACAGTCCTCGCGAACGCGTTCGGAGCATAGTGTCTCCCGCGAGGGACGACACCGAGAAGGGCAATACCTTCTCCAGTACTAGAGGAAGCTCTCCGCTCACCTCGAGCCATGCCTTTGGCTCCAGCAAGGATCCATCCTTGCGGGCGGAGCTTCTGCCTCGCTCTCTTCGCGTCTTGGTCAACATACCAACGGCGCGCAGGTGTCCTTCATCGACACCGTGTACCGTGACGGTACACAACCGTGGTGTAGGTGTCTCCCATCGACACCATGTACCGTACGGTACTAACCTTTGGTGCGGTACGCCCACCACAAGGTTACCATGTTTGGCGGCAACAGCTTCTGCTGTGCTGTCGCCTGAACAGATTCATGGCCAGTGCTCGCATCATGCACGACGCATGTGCAAGCACAGTGTACAGGTCCATGGGCCCGTACACGAGGTACGCTGTGTACGACACGTACCACAGCTACCATAAGTGCTCCGTGCACGTCATGTGTGTCATGCACGACGAGTTCATTACGTGGAACTCCTGGCAGGCTGCTCGACAGCAGCCAGTGCCGATGCACGGTACGTGCGTTGACTCACAGCGTCCAGAGCGCATCGGGTCGTGGTATGGTGCATATACTTTGCACCTATACCAGTGTCTGTCACAGACACCATGTACCTTGATGGTACTCGACCGTGGTGGGGCACATCTCACCACTATGCCTGCGGCATTGGTGTCTGGCATTGACACCGAGTACTCACGGGTACCAACCCATGGTGAGGCAAGCAGCCATCACCACGGTGTCATGCTCGGCGCGACACCAGTTACGACTGCGAGCCTTGCCTCGACCACCACCTGGTCAGTTGTGTGTGCACTCGTGCACCACACTTGGGTTATGGCTCCACGGCCCATTATACCCGGCGCGTTGCGTACATAACGTACCGCAACCGCTTTGTCGGCGGGTGAGACGTTCCGTTCACCCTACTCGACAGGTCGTTCATGACCAAGGGACTTACACTAGGCCCGCGCTTCGCCTCGTGTGTGGTTGCTTGCAGCCCCAACACTGCTGATTCGCTCAGCGATTTCGAGGCACCTTGCGCCCGTGGCTTTCTTCGCCACTATGTCTTGTTCGGCTAGAGCTACCGCAGCTCTAGCCCGGCTGTTCGTCTCCAGCCTGCAGTCGATGTACATCGACGCCTGGTTCCGTTAGGAACTTGGTCTTACCTCAAGACCAGGGAGAAAAGGTATTTCCGAGCCTCTCCCCCACTTACACTCGAGACTATTGAGTCTCTCGTGGCTTGTGATATCCACTGGCAGCACGACGGCTACCTGCCTCTTGGAAAGTCAGGGAGGAAAGGTATTTCCGAGCCTCTCCCCCACTTAACCTCGAGACTACTGAGTCTCTTGTGGCTTCTAATAGCCACTGGCAGGCGCAACGGCTCTCCGCCATGTGCACTGCGTCGGTATGGCCGACCGCGTCGGCCGTGTCGACTGAAGGCATTCAGCCTTCGCGTCAGCAGTTTGAGTCTGCGCGACTTGACGTCGAGCGAGTTGCTCATGTCTGGCGAGGCCAAGACAACCTCGCGCCTCGAGCCAATGGCTCTGTGTGCGGCGCTATGTTACTCGCCGTGGGTGTGGAACTCTGTTACCCACACCGGAAGCGCATACAGCGACTTCCTTGTCAGTTATGGTCTGAGTGACCTTGCGTGGAACTTTGTTACCCACGCTCGGAGCACCGAATGTCGGTCTCCTTAAGCAGCTTCACTGCTTGCGGAACTTGTTACCCGCAGTGTGGACCTATGTTACCCACCTGGTGAATGCCCTTAGGCACCACCACTGTCGAAGCGCATACGGCGCGACGACCTTCGGTGTTGGGATCGGCTGGTGTGGCAGACTCGCCCACACACCGGACAGAGTTGGTGTCCACCGACCGAGTCAGAGGAGTCCGGGCCCTGGACTCCGAGTCGCTTGAAGCGACGTCGGCCTGAACAAGGTTCAGACCCGACTTGCGGCGGCTGACGTGACGTGGCACTTCGTTACCCACGTCGTGATGTCTCGTTGACGACATCAGAGGCACTCGAGACCTCGTGTGGCACTGTGTTACCCACACAGGAAGCATGGACAATGCCTTCCTCTTCAGTTATAGTCTGGGCGACTGCGTGTGGTACTGTGTTACCCACACAGGAAGCGCATTCAGCGCCTTCCTCTTCAGTTAAGGTCTGGGCGACCGTGTGGTCCTAAGTTACCCACCTGGTTAGCGCTTAAAGGCATAACCACTGTCGAAGCCCGTACGGCGCGACGACCTTCGGCGTTGGACGCTGCTGGTGTAGCAGGTCCACACGCCGGGCAAAAGACCCATGCCCGTGGCATTGCCGCAGCGTAGCATGGTCTTGCTGTACGCAGAGCTGTCGGCGCGTTGACAGCTCCGTGACGCTTCTGCGTCCTGGCGGTCTGTATCAGACGCCCCAGTCATGACGGAGGTGGGAACATGACTCACCAATGCTCCGTCATAGACCTGGACTGGTAGGCCCTTCTCAGCCTTGCCACACCAAAGTCCGGGCTGTGCCTTATGTTCGGCACAGCCATGTTGTTCATGGCGAGAACTGCGAGCGACACCGCGGTGCGCGAGCTCATCGAGCCAAAACGTTCAGGTCCGTTGAGGACCATTGATACTACCGTACCAAAGGCTAGTCCATCAAGGACCAGCCCATGACCGCCACTCTGACATAGAGTGCAGTCGGATGTCGCTATGCCAAGCGACGTTCCAGCGGCGTATCAACGCCCCAGAACTCATCAAACGTTCAAGGGGTACCGTACCCCCGTACACCGAGTGTACTACCAGCAGCCCATCACTGCCCTTCACCGGTTTGAGAGAACCACGTCTCTCTGGGCTAAGTCCCGTGGTGTGCACAACCTGCACACCCATCACAAAGACTTAGCGCTTTTCAGTAGGGCATACCGCCTCTACTGGTGGCCGGGAAGTCTTCGTCCACCTGGCCGTGGCCTGCGCCACCGGACTTGGGGCCCACGGGCCGTCTTCTTCCCGAGGACTAGCGAGGGACACACACGCTGGTAGTGTCCATGTCCGCCGCATCCATAGCAGCGGACCAAGCTCTCGGCTGAGCTTAAGTCCATGGGCTTGGGCTCGCTGTACGCACCGGTATCAACAGGCTGCGTGACAGCAGGAGCAACAGCGTCATTGCTGCGATGCTCCGCCTCCCGAGGAACGCCATTCTCATCGTGGCGATGTTCCTCTTCCCGAAGAGTACCAGCCTGCTTGTGGCTGTACTCTTCTTGGAGGGCGATTCGAATCGCCTCCTCCATAGTTGTCGCTTGCACCCGGAATAGCTGAGTGCGAGCAGGACCGACCTTCAGGCCGTCCATGAAGACTGTTGTCTTAACGGCTTCAGGCAGAGGATTCCCTGCCAGAGATGCCACCAACGTGCGCATCTCTTGCGCGTACTCCTGCAGCTCACGTTTACCTTGCTTACACGCGAGAAAGCGTGAGCGCTGGCGGAACTTGTTGTTCGCCGGTAAGAACGCGGCTCGAAGCTGCTCACACAGCTGAGCCCAGGATGCAAAGCATCCAGGAGATGTCGTCTCCCTGGTGTATGCCCAGTGCTTGGCACGTCCACCAAGGTTGGACAGGGCAAACGCCACTCGAACTGGCTCGTCCGAGATGAGACCCGCCTTCATGGCGATCTCCACCTCACGGACCCAGAAGTGAAGGTTCTCTCCTTCCTTCCCCTCAAACGCGGGGACCTTCAGCCACACCGGCTTAGGCCTAGTTGCCTGGGGAGCGGCCATCGTGGCCTCCAAGCTCCCGCGGACGTGAGCGATGAGACCACGCTCGTAGGTCTCAAACGCGGTCACGCGCTCTTGTTGCTCGGCAGGCGTCGCCGCCGCCAAGCTGCGAAGGACATCTTGTCCAAAGATGCCTCCCATCTTCCGAACGGACTCGTACTGTGAGTCGTTCAAGCGAGGAAACTCGCTTCGGTCCATCGTGGCTCAAACGTTGGGCGCACAGAGGATTCAGGTAGCTCAATCTACCCGCGATGGTGTTGGATTGACTACTAGTGCTACCAAGTGTGACGGGGTCACACAGCACCTTGCACAGAGGAAGTGCTTAAGGGTATTAACTACCCGAGTGAACGTAAGTCCACGTGTTCCCGGCCTCAGTGGGAACGGTTTGCTACTTAGAGGAGTAGATTTAAGACTGATGTATTTATAAGTAAGATAAGCTTGGGTCTCATACAAACTAGAGGTTACCTATAGTGGAGCTAAGTAGTCATGCACTGACTGGTTCCGAGAGCACCTGGTACCGTGTACCAGGTGTCCACAAGAGTGACGGGTCACTCTTTATGTAACATGGGGCACACTGGATTGTACCCCGTTACACAGCCGTACAAGTACCAAGTCGGCTCGTTCAGCGACGTGTGCTTCCGTTTGCTTCCACAAATCGACGTGATGTGGTGGCGGGGATTCCGTTGTGGGCGGCCACAAGCGTCCAGTCACCGCCGACACGGAGGCAGTCGAGGACACGAGCTCTGGCAAATGCGAGGTGCGGGGCTCTGGGCATCTTGGGGTAGGTAGAGGCTTGGCTTGGTTGAGGGCTTGGTAAAAGATTGATAAGAGAGAGCGAGGAATGGCAATGAAGTGCTCGCGCACACGCTCAGGAGGGTTGATCCGCTTTGAACTGCGAATAAACCACTTTGAAGTACGGAGTGCGTTTACTCGACATATTTGTGAAGTGACATAAACTCTAATGTAAAAATTGAGAATAATTTTTAAAAAGGTTTAGTTACTTCACCACTTTGAAGTGGAGTAGCACCATCTTGACCTCTTGACCTGGCAAAGGTGTAGTTGCCGTCTTAGATCCGTTTTTGTATCTGTAGTTGCACGGCGGAGCATGAGCACCTGTGCCTTGCTTAGTTTCTCTAGCCAGCCTCTCACAACTCAAATGAACGAGGCGGAGCGCTGCGCAAAAAAAGAAACAAATGGTTATCTATTTCCGAGCGGAGGTAGTAGTACAGTAGAGCAAAAATAAAACGAGAATCATAGCACGCTGGCAAATTGACCGACAGAAGAATACAATTTGGAGGAGCGCACAATCATTCACTCGATCCTAGACGCAGTTAACAACCGTACAGCTACAGTCGTGTGGGCTTGACCGTGATACTCTGCTGCAAAGTGTAGGTGTGGCCGGCCGGAAGAGGTTGCTTGACGCTGACCCGACCAGGTTCGACGCAAACCATGTTGATGTACTCCTCGTCACCGAAGTCCTCCAGCTTCTTGGCACGCTCGGCACCGGGGTTCCACACGACGGCGTCGGTTTTGGTCTTGATCGCCTTCTGACCTTTCTTACCAGTGATGAAGCCCTTCTTCTGGACGGTCACAGAGCGGTCTTTGGTGCTGACACCTTTGATGGTCGCGACGATTTTGTCCGGGGCGTCCAGGTACGTGTTTCCGGTCTGCGCCGTGGAGTTGGTGAATGTGACGGACTGGCGAGTCTCCGTTTTGTTCACCTTGGCCACCTGATCGAAGTAGTCGACTCCCTTGAGGCCCGACACCGCCACACCGCCATTACGGGAGTCATCCACCCACAGGTAATTGTGCAGTAGCGTGTGGAACTCGATCTGTTCCGTGTGTGTGTTTTGCACACGCAGCGCAGTCTGAAGCTCGTTAGCGTACAGCTTCACCTCGTACTCAAGCTTGAAATCTACAGGCCACATCTGACGAGTAGAGTTGCTGGCCGCCATGGTGAACTTTGCCACGCTGGGGCTGTTGTCGGTAGCTTCCTTAGTGCTGGCCACAGCCCAGTTGGTGATGCGAGCGAAGCCGTGGTTAGGGAAGCCAGGGGCGCCGCCAAAGTTAGGGAACACCACAGGGATGCCGCCACGAATGGGGTTCACGCCATCCATGAATGAGTCCTTCGACATGAAGATGACGTCAACCTTCGGGTCCGTTGCGGCGCGGAACGACTTGACGTGGGCGCCGAATAGGAAGACCTCGGCACTGGAGCCATGCGGATGCGACAGCTTGACGGTCTCCAACTCAGCGTTCACGGCAGTTAGCGACGCTAGCAAAGTCGACACGAAGACTGTAGTTTTGGACATGAACGAGCTGACCATTGTAGAGACGTCCAGCTCGGGATTGCTTGCTCTCCAGGCGATTAATTGAAGAATGAAAGCTTTAATCCAAGAGACAACACCTCGCAACTAGCCATGACAAAGCAGCACGGGCACATCACAAGATACTGGATTAATACCAGCAGGAATAGCGTATGGGTAATAGGAGGAAACCTCGTACGATCGCCAACTATCTATCAGTGGTCAAGTTTATTATACGTGCTTTATTAAAATTGGCTCATCGCAAACAACGCACTTCACACGTCACTATTATACGATGGCGATATCCTTTGTGTTTACCAGTACAATTTACTGCGATGATTCTCAACCTATTAAAACCTCTTGCTGTTCAACGAGACTGTATGCAAGAGGAGACGATTATCGTCTCCCCTACAGTACTGTGATTATCGCGACGATAATCAAAGTAACGTTACAGTTGTATTCACAGATCGCCCTGCAAATCTTTAGATCAACTGGATATTTAATACATGTAAATACTAAGTATTATTTATCGAAATGCGGGACCTCAGGTAATCTACAGTACCGAAAGTCTGGCATTTCATGATACTCACATTAGTGTTAATGTGAATTGACCCTCGATTTAAATTCACTCGCACGAGTTAAACTGAATCGGCCGTCGACTCAGCTTAAATC